CGCGGGCGGGGATGGGAAGCCGGGGAAGGCTCCGGCGGGGGGCTCGGCCGCCTCCTGGTCGCGCACGATGGCGAAGTAGGAGGGTGGGGGCTTCTGCGGGGGCTGTGTGGTGGATGGGGACAGCGGGCGTCCGGCCGCGCCTCTGGGTGCCGCGCGCGCCTCGCCAAGGCCCAGCCCCTGCGGCTCGATGGGACCATAATATCGGTGATAGCCGTCGGCCAGCGCTGCGCCCCCCGGAGGCCCGGGGCCCTTGGCCCGGCGCCAGCGGTCGGCGGCTGCACGCTCTCGGGGCACGAAAGGCGCAGGGCCAGGGGGCGGACGCGCGGTGGGGTATGCGGGGCTGGGCAGCGGCTGCGGCGGGGGCGGAGGCTTGGCAGGCGGTGGAGCAGCCTCGGCGCTGCAGCAGCTGTACATGCCCTGTGAGGGGTGGGGACGGGTGAGCCAGGTGCCCGCACCCAACGACCTCTTCCTCCACGCTGGACCTGACCCACACCTTCCATTTCTTTGCCCCCTCGCCCCCCGCTGGTGCTTCCCCTGCTTCCACGCTCCCTTTCCTACCCTGGAGAAGGCCAGCAGGAAATCCATGCGGTGGGTGGGCCCCAGGCAATGCCGCAGGCGCCAGTACACCAGATGTTCCCAAGCGAAGACCAGCAAGGAGAGGCCCATGGCCACGAGGAGCATGTAGAAGACACCTGCCATGTTGTCGATATCCAGCTTGCTGCTCATCACCTCGATTTTGTCATTGTGGCAGATCCCGGAAAGCCACAGCCGCTCCAGCATCTCAATCTCATCTGGGGATGGGGTCAGAGTCACTTACTGTGAACACACTCTGCTCAGACAGAGCCCCGGCCCCAGCCCACGTTCCCCAGGACAGACGGCCAGCCCTCCCCTCTTCAGGGTAGGACTTCCCGCCCAGCGTAGCCGCACCGTCCCCCAGGAACTGCAGCAGCGCCAGGTCGATGGGCCGCTTCCAGCGGGAGCCCTTGTGCAGGGCGATGCCATAACCAGTGGTGGCGAAGACCTTGCCGGAGCCGATGGTGACCAGCTTGCAGCCCTCATCCTTGCGGGCCATGTAGTTGAGCACTGCTGCGTCATAGATGAAGGCGTCCAGTTTCCTGAGGACAGGGTCGTGAAAGACAGGGTCAGTGTCACTTAGATGACCTCATGGCACTCCAGGAACCCCGTTCACCTCTAACCTGCAACTGCTCAGGAGCTCCTGAGCAGGTACCTCCTGGTGCCTCTTTTCAACAATGGTAAAACGGGCATAATTCCAACACTACCGCGCCCAAGCTTTTGCAGAGGCGATAGTGCCTGGCAAAGCGGTGCTGGAGAAATGACAGCCATTGTAACTGTCAAGGGAACAGTCTCTTAATCCTCATCCTATCTTTCCAAAGATGATACTGTTTTTGTGGTTTTGTTTTTAATGAGAAAAAAAGGCTGGGCAGTCAGTGGTGGCGCATGCCTTTAATCCCAGCACCGGAGGGAGTTTGAGGCAGCCTGGTCTACAGAGCGGGTTCCAGGACAGCCAGGGTTGCACAGAGAAACAAACAAACAAACAAAAAAGGTCCCAGGGGTTGGAGCTCAGGCTGATGGCAGCATGAGAGTTCACAGCCACTTACAACCCCCCTCCAGGAGCTCTGATGGCGCCACCTCCTGGCCTCTGCAGGTACCTGTGCCTAGGTGACATACACTCACATAGACACATAAGTTAAAAAATATAAATATTTTTAAAAGGGCTTTCATTTTATTAGTTGTGACACTGGTGGTGGAACCTGGGGCCCTATACGCGCTAGGCCATCATGTTATCATCACTCATGGCCAAGCCATGCCCCCAGACCCTCACTGGAGGGCACTAGGCAGGTAGGAACCACCTAATAACCACAGCCCAAGCTCTTGCAGTATAAAGAGGCCTGAGACACAGGGGGGATGGCAGTCACACCAGGGAGCACTTACATTTGAGCTGTATTCTACCTATTACTGTCCTGTCAGACCCAGTGCGTCATTTGATACCCACAAAATAGATGTACGACTAAAGCCTTTGTGTCTGTTCTTTCCAGAAGGGGGGCCAGCCTCATCTGGGCCCTGAACTGCTAAGCCTTGGTGGGGAGAGAAGTCGGGAAGTAGAGTTACTCCATGGATGGGGATCACTGCTGTTCTTTATTTCTGATCCTAGGGAGCTGGCACATCGTTTGTTCATTCTTAGCCCAGGCATAATTCTGGCACATACAACGAACTTTTTACAGAATGAATTGTGGAATATTTGTTTAACCAGGCGAAGATGTGGTACTTTTGTTCATGCTGCATTTGATAATGATGTAAAGATGTGCTGCATTTGTTTCACCTTGCCTGCCTAAAGCACCTGATTGGTCAAATGGCCAATAGGTAGGCAGAGAAAGGATAGGCGGGGCTACCAGGCAGCAAGAATAAATAGGAGGAGGAATCAAGGTTCCAGAGGAGAAGAAGGAGAGGAGGAGGAGAAAGAAGGACATGCCCAGGGCAAGAAGCCAGGCAGACATCAACCAGCCAGCCATAGGGAAGCAGTGAGAGAGACAAGAAAGGTAACAAACCCTGAGGCAAAGGAGACAAAGAGAAACAGGTTCATTTAAGTCAAAAGAGCTAGACCCAGCATTCAAAACTAATAAGTCTCCGTGTCATGATTTAGGAGCTGGTCGGTGGCCCAAAAGAAAAAGCCTGGTACCATGGATTGTGTGAGTAAACAGTCCACATCAGTTACAGGTTGAGAACCACTGCCCTACAGGACCATCTCTTGAGCCCTTACAGTTTTTTTACATTTATTTGTTTATTGTGGGGGGGGGCACATGCGTGCCATGGTACACTTGTGGTCCGTTCTTTCCTTCCACTCTGTGGACTCTGGAGGTTGACCTCAGGCCAGCAGGCTTGGGAGCAAGTGCCTTTATCTGGTGAGCGATCTCACCAAGCCTTGCCTTTTGAATGCATCATTTTTCACATTTATTTGTGTGTGTGGGAGGGCATGGCATGCACACAAAGGGTGGAGAACAACTTGCCGGAGTTGGTTCTTCCTTTTTACCATGTGGCTTCCAGGGACCGAGGTCAGGTCTGCGGCCTTGGCCCTGTGTCACTTTTGTGTTTGAATGCACGTGAGCACGTTCAGTTGTTTGTAGGTGCATACATGCATGTGTGTGGAGGCTAAGGGACGACCTTGGGTGTCACCCTCAGGACCACAGTAGCCTTCTTTGAGACATGGCATCTTTTTTTGTTTGTTGTTTTTTGAGAAAAGGTCTTAACTGTGCAGCCCTAGCTGGTCTGGAACTTGCTTTGTGGACCAGGCTGGCCTGAAACTCAGAGATGCTCCTGCCTCTGCCTCCTGAGTGCTGGGATTAAAGGCGTGTGCCTCCATGCCGAGCGAGACATACATTTGACCTAGACATACAATGGCCTAGAGCTCACCAAATAGACTAGCCTGGCTGGCCAGAAAGCCTCTCGGACGGGCCTGTCCTGGATTCCACAACTAGGCGCGGTTTTACCTGGCTCTGAGGATGGTTGACTGGGCTGTCACCTGGGCCCAGTATGACTTCCTTTGGAGACTGGCCTTAAACTTTACATCCTCCTGCCTCAAGCCACTTGAGTATTTGAGAAGACAGATCAACACCATTAGGCCTGCCTTCTGTGTTTATTCTTTAAATGGTGTAGATACTGGGGTGAACTTTTGGTCACATTTCTTACAGACTCCACACAACTTCTAACAGGGAGGTCCCTCACCTTGTCTAGCATTATCTAAAAACAGTCTGCCATGACAGGATGGACCCTGTGCATGGCCATGGTAGCCACTGTCCACACACAGCTCTTGAATACTTGAAATGTGGCTAGTGTGAGGAGATGAAATTTTAAATATTATTTCCTTGATTTTTTTTAAACTAAAATACTACTGGGTGGAACAGATATGTGAGAAGGCAATGACTAGAGGCTGGTCCCAGAGACAGGAAGAATCCTCCAGGAAGGAATACTTAACCCCTACTTAACCTGGACTTTCTTTCTTTCTTTTTTTGGTTTTTCGACACAAGGTTTCTCTGTGTAGTTTTGGTGCCTGTCCTGGATCTCGCTCTGTAGACCAGACTGGCCTTGAATTCACAGAGATCTGCCTGGCTCTGCCTCCTGAGTGCTGGGATTAAAGGCGTGTGCCACCGCTGCCCGGCTTAACCTTTTTATGTGGTGTGTGTGTGTGCACGCGTAAATAAAGTACAGAGCAGAACCTGTCCATGCATTCACTTCTACCAGGGAGACTGACCAAGCAGACTCCTAGAATTGAGGTGATACAGCCAAAGCAAAGAAGAACTTGGGGTGAGGCAGAGGCTAGGGACCCCAAGAATTACCTTTCATCTTGGGGGGTCATTGAGGGTGCCACTCTGGAGAGGGGTCTTAGTTTTCTCTCAATCCTTAACTGGCAGCGGGACCTCAGCTGACATCCAGGAGCGTGTATACATAGGCAAGCCTCCGGGCACTTCTGCCTGGTAGGCAGACTCTAATTTCTCTCTAGGTTTCTCTTTGTTTAGGAAAATGCCCATGAGGGCAGAAAGTGAATTGCTCTCCACATTTAAGTGGAGATAATTTGGTGTTTCCGGACTTGGGCTGAGATGAGAGATGGAAGGGCTGGGAATAGCATCAGATGGAGAGAGTCGTCTTGGAGGAAATGAGTGGGATGAACTTGAGGGTTTCAGAGAAATGCTACAAGACAAAGCTTCCGAGATGGAAACAGTGGAGGAGTTTCAGAAGGTGGAATCAAACAGCATTTACTTTTTAGTTTCTTGGTCCTAATGGAACCAAGAGCCCCGAGCCAAACAAGAACTCCACCACTGAACTGCATGTCTAGTCTAGCACTCACTTTTATTTTTTAAGATGTATTTTTTTATTATTGCATGTGTATGAGTGTTTTGCCTGCGGATTTGTGTAGCACATGCATGCAGTGCCTGTGGAGGCCGGAGGAGGACAATGGATGCCTTAGAACTGGAGTTACAGATGGTTGTGAGCCACCACACAGGTGCTGGGAGTAGAACCCAGACCCTCTGCGAAAGCAGTGATGCTCTTGACTGCTGAGCCCTCTCCAGCCCCCTGCTGAGCCCTCTCCAGCCCCCTGCTGAGCCCTCTCCAGCCCCGGCACTCCCTTTGGCTATTTACTCAGCTGTTCTGTGACAGCAGTGTCTGCTTTCCCTGTTTCCTGAATCCCTATTTAAATTCAACCTTGGGCTGGAGCTGGAGCTCAGTAGGTAGACAGCCTGCCTAGAATTCCCCTGTGAGGGGCTGGGGGCGTGACTCAGTGGTAAAGCCCTTATGTCAAGTGGGGGTGGGCTTTGAGGTTTCAAAAGCCCAGGCCAGCCCGCCCCGCCCCCCCACCTGCTACCTGTGGATGAGGATGTAAACCCTCAGGTTCCATGCCTCTGCTTCCCATCGTGATGATGATGATCTTGGACTAACCCTCTAAACTGTAAGCCAGCCCCCAATTAAATGCTTTCTTTTAATTATAAGAGTTGCCTTGGCAAAAGACACGGTCAATAAGACAAAAAGACACCCTACAGAATGGGAAAAGATCTTCACCAACCCCACATCTGACAGAGGACTGATCTCCACAGTATATAAAGAGCTCAAAAAACTAGAAATCAAAATACTGAACAATCCAATTAAAAAATGGGCTAAAGAGCTAAACAGAGAATTCACAAAACAAGAATCACAAATGGCTGAAAG